CTGATATTACAACTCTTCAAGAGGAATGTATTGCATTTGGTAAATACAAGTATTTTTTATATTAGTTTTGCTTTTAATTATATATTATGCATATAAAAAATGTTTTGGAATATCATCTATTTTTATTTCAATATTTTTGTTATATATTTGAGCTTCCTTTGGGTAATCGCGCAAAAGCTTGCATTTCAAAAAATTTGTAATAATCACATATTATATGTTTTAAAAATTACTTCATTTCGCATGTTTTTGATAATTAAAAATATGGATTATTGTTACAGATTCAGCTCATGCTCTTTTTGTAAGAGCAACATATTTAGTTTGTCATAGATTAATATCATCATGGAAGACAGACTTAAATATTTCCTTAGCAGCTCTTGAAATATTATCAGGATTAGCAAGAACACGTATTCGTGAAACAGGTAAATTCTAATTTATTTATTTATTATTTATTATTAAATTATAATAGTATTTTAATTTATAAAATCTTCACACAATTTTAAATATTTTACATGCAGCAAGAAAATTAACAGGTTAAATTATATTTTTATATAGCTTATAGTTTAAAATTTTATTACAAAATATTAATTTTTAATATGAATTGCAGATGCTTTAGAATGTAAACGAGCTGTGAAATGGCTTTGTGATTATATTGCATATCAGTGTTGGCGTCCACCACCAGCTCATTCAAAAGATCTTCATTCTTCTATTGTTGCTGCATTTAGTTGCTTAAGAACTTGGTTAACTGCTCATTCACAATTGTTACAAGTTACTATTTTATTGATATTTAATTACAATAAATAATTAATATCAAAATAAATTTATATAAAATAATTTGTTTTAGGATAAAGATTGTTTAACAACAGTTTTAGAAGTAGTTGAACTTGGTGTATCAGGAACAAAAAGTATAGGAAAACCTGGTGAACCTATTAAAATGAAAGATGAAAAAGAATTAAAACCAGCATCTATGCGCGTTAGAGATGCTGCTGATGCGCTTCTTACAGTTATTTTGGAACAAGTATATTAAAATTATTATAATTTTAAAAAATAGTAAATTTATAAAAATTATTTTTACAACATAAATAAATTTATGTTTATAGGTTGGTTATTTCCCTAGTGCATGTGGAGCACAATCATTATCATCTTTATTAGATGAAGTATCACTTTTACGACACTGCAATAGCTGGACTGGTGGTCGAGTTCCACGTCAAGCAGCAGTTGAAAGATTTCGATATTTTGTTGCTGAAAATGCTACTATATTGGCTTTATTAGAAGAACCTCTTGGAAATGATCAAGATCCACAACCTACAGTAACTGTATTAATACGTGGTCCATTTGGAAGACATGCGTGGACTATGCAACTTCGACATTTACCTAGGCATAGATCTAGCATCAGAAGTGTAAATACAAATCCAGGTCGACCATTACCATTAGCAGAAGCTGCTCCACGAACAGATTATAAACCTAAATTTTTTCCTGATAATGTAGATCGAATACCGCATTGTAAAGTGTATGTTAAATTTTATCAGTATATTTTTATATAATTCAAAATATCTAAAAAAAATAAAATTTATAATATTTAAATTCTATTTAGGGATGAATCTATTCCAAGTTTAGAAGCAGTTATGAATGACAGCGATATTGTGAGAAATGAACATCAAATTTTATCACAATTATTAGAACGTCAAATGACTATCGAAACAAAATATAGTGATGGAAATGATAAAGTTTCAGAAGAAAAAATAGAAGAATGTGTGCCACCTCAAATTTGTCATGAATTTCAAACTGCGCGTTTATTTTTAAGCCATTTTGGTTTCTTAAATATGGAACCTAAAGAAACCAATGAATCTAGAAACAATGGTCTTACTGCTTTAGATCCAACTATTCCAGGATTTTGTTTAGATTTAGAGACTTTAGATAACATTAGTCCAAGAACATGTGATACTGTGTACATTTTTTATGTTAAAGCTGGTCAAAAAACTTCAACAGAAATATTATCTAATGTGGTAATTATTTTTAATTTTAAAATGCTTCATTGTTATTTACATTCATGTAAAGTGAATTTTTATTTATAGTTACATGAATCGAATGTATCACCAAATTTCTTAGAATTTTTAAATTCTCTTGGTTGGCCAGTTTCGGTATCAACACATGCAGGTTGGACTGGCCATATTTCTACTTCATGGAGAGTAACACCACAACTAAATGTACCACAACCAGCTCATAGTGATCATGGTGGAGCTCTATATAATGGTGATACTCATGTACTTTATTGGGCAGATGTTAGTTCAGAAATTGCTTTCATTGTACCCACTCAGTTGAATAATATGGTAAATTCAGATTCATTGGAAGAAACAAGTTATTGTAGTGATGTCAGTGTTAATCAAGGTACAATTTAAAAATATGATAAATGACAATATATCAAAGAATTTTTTATGTTTATATGATGAATTATACAATAATTAATAATTACAGTTTGGTTCGAAAGAAGTATTAGCGAAAGTACTTCTCCGCGAAACAGTGGTACGGGACAAAACACAATGCAAAATTCACGAACAATGTCACTTGATTTAGAAAAACAACCATCTAGTTTAACAGGATCCAATTCTTCCAATGCAGATTTAAACAAACCAAGAAAAACAACTAAACAAGTTTTACCCGTACAAATTGATATTAAAATTATAGTTGTTTGGTTAGAAAGTTTAGAAGATTTTGCTCATTTTCCAATTGGTAATAATCATTTATGCAAAAATATATATTTCCTTGAATTAAATAAAAAAAATTTCATAATAATATTTTACATGCAGGTGATCTTCTTCCTTGTACTTACAGTGGTCTTGAGCAATCAAAAATAATTCAAGTATCAGATGTACAAGTAATTTTTCTTCAAGCTCTTAGTAGTGGACTAATGAGAGTCAGATTACAAGGTCCAGTTTCTAGAATTAATTTAGCTACTCCTTTAATTGATGGAATGGTTGTATCTAGAAGGGTACTAGGAACTCTTGTTAGGCAAACTGCATTAAACATGGGACGTAGAAAGAGGCTTGACAATGATAGGTCTGTAAAATTATAATTATGTTTTAATAGCATTAATAAATTTAATATTTATAATATTTTTCAGTTACCATCCACCACATGTACGTAGACGTTTGAAAATTCAAGAAATAGTACAAAAATATAAGAAAGATTTAACTGAACCAGAATTATTAACACTTTTATTTAATAGTACTCAAACTTATCAAATTTAATAAAATTAATATAAATAAATGAAATTTATATTAAATTATAATAAGAATATATTTCTAAATAATAAATATTTCTAAGTAATAATAAATATAATCAGCACAATAGATATTTAATTTCCCTATATTTTATAATTTAGTAAAATATAATGATATTGTTTATTATATGTATATATTATCCATATATCATATTGAATTATAATATAATAAAAATTATAATATAATGTTTATAATATATATGGATTCATATGTAATAAAATCATCTTATCAAAATATATTTAAAATTAATATTTATTACATATGTTTATCTAATGTAAATGCTTATTAAATATTCAACAATAAAATATTGTAATCATTGATATATTATGAAATAATATTTTAAATTTTTTAAAAACAATTTGATATTTGTAAGAAAGTTATTTACAATATTGTTTAAAATTTTTATTTACAATATTGTTTAATTGTAAAAAATAGTTATAAAAAATTCTGGTATAATTTAATTATATAATCACATTATTATTTTCTTTTTTTTGCTTTTTTTTTATTTACATTAAATTATCTATATAACGTTCTTTGGTATTCTTTAAAATAAAAACATAATAAATTCAATCGATTGTAAATTGCGATTAATCGATTATATCTTAACAATTATATGTATTTTTACAAAATTATTTTAATATAATTTTATTAAATTTCAATAAAAAGAATAAATAATAATAATAATAATAATTTCAAAAATAAGTTTATAATTTAGTATATAATAACACATTTATATATATATTAGTCATTATATCGATATTAAAAATTTAGCTATGTCATTCGATGACATTGCACGTATGATATAATGTTACGAAAGAATATACTAATATATCTTTGTTGCATAAAACTTGAATAAAAAAATTCACGACTAGGTATCTAATCAATTATTCTAATATATTGTTAAATATTGATTTAATGTCTTATCATTTCATTAATTTAGAGTACATAATAGGTATCAAATGCTATATCTTTGCAAAAACATTGCCATATAAATTTAATATAATTTAATTTTATATATAAAAAAAATTATAATTTTTTATTTAAATTATTAATTTTTTATATATGTATTTTATAATATATTTTTGTTTTACTTCTTTCTTATAATGATAACGTAAAATATTTCTTAATATATTTTTTTATTAAATAAAATATATAATTAAATAAAATTTTATTAATAAAATATGGAATATGAAAATTAAAAACACATTCTATTAAATATTTTTCTATCTTATAACATATATATATTTATATATATATTTAGTATTATATATATATTATATATATATATTATATATTATATATATATAATATATTATATATATATAATATATAAATATTTAATATTTAAAATAATAGTAATAAAAAATAATTGGCTCATTATATTATTATTATTAAATTAGAAAATAAATAAATAATATTTCAATATAACATAGAAAAATCTAAAAAATATAGATAATAAAAATATAGAAATATATACATTTTTAAATTAAAAAATATATAAAGATACAAAATGATAATAAAATTTCAAAATAAAATAAGAATAAATTATATAATGTTATAATAATGTTTAAAATATAATATTTTATTAATGGGATATATATTTTTTACAATTATACTATTTTAAGAATTTTTCTTATTCTCATTTTATTAGATTTTCTATTTTTGATTATACAATTATACAAACAATCTTTTCTGTTTAGAAGTTAAACCGTTATTTCAAAATTGTGCGCAAGATGACGTAATATATCTTGATTGGGTAAATGAGCCAATGTTATAATGTGAACGGTTTCTATTCAGCACAGTTTACATTTGTTTGAGAAAGTGAGCGGATATAGTTGTATCAGTTAGTTTTAAATAGATATATAAGGTAATAGGTATATAATGTAATTGTATATTTCTTCAATTGAACATCTTTTACTTGACTACAATCATTTATTGAAATTAACGATATCTATTATAGCGTGGAACACTTTATCTTGCTCAAGAAAGCTATAAAAGAACTCAAGAGTGTTATCTGAATATAAGTAAAGCAAAAACCTATAAAGCAGTAAATGTATTTTTATGGAAGGCTAAAGTATGGATCAATTTTGTGGTAGTAAATTTTGGGTAAGAATGCATATTTTATTTGTTCTTTCGTCATGTTTTTGTTTTATTTGATTCACTCGAAAATTTACTTGAAATATCTTTTTGATTAAATAATTGATTAATAATATTATTTGATAAATATATAAAAATATAAAATATATATCATAATATGCTTTTGTACACTAAATTTTAAAATAAAATTATTTTATTTGTCATTTAATTCTTTTGATTTAAAAAATATATACAGATATTTTATTTTTTACATTGTAGAACTATAGTTTAATATGGAATACAGATGACCCAGAGATTACAGAATGTTTTCAAAAAAACTGTGCTAGTATGGGTGCCATGTGCATTTTTATGGTTATTCTCTGGAATAGAAATTTATTATTTCTTAAACAGCAAAAACAAAAATATTCCATATACATGGTTATTTATTTCTAAACAAATACTCATAATAACTCTGATTTTACTTAATATTGTTGATTTAGGAATAGCTATATATAAAAGTACTTATAAAGAAGTTTATAATGTTGATTATTGTACACCAATTATAAGAATTGTTACCTTTGTAAGTATCATTTATAAATTTTTAAAAAATTATAAAAAATTAATACATTGTAATAATATTATTCCATTAATTTTTTTATAGCTTAAGACAAGTATTTTAGTAACATATAATAGGAAATATGGAATGCGAACTTCTGGACTATTATTTTTATTTTGGTTTCTACTTGCTTTATGTGGAATTATTGAATATAGAAGTTTATTAAAATTATATATAAACAAGGTATGTTATTACTTATTGTTATAAAATAATCAATAATTAATTAAAATTATTTTATATAATTACTAATGACTATTAATTGAGAGATTTATTTATTTATTTATTTTTTAAGATTATATTCCAATCCTTAATATTAATATTGAAAAAATTTTTTTATATATATTAACTTTTATATATTTTTTTTAGAATGAGATCTCTTATATCTCATTTATATCTTATCCAATAGTGATACTTTTATTCTTATTGAATTTCTTGGTTGATGCTGAACCTAAATATTCTAAATATCCCAGGGTAATAATATTTTTGATAAATCATATTATAGCTAAAATGAAAAATATTAGAATATTAATTTTATATATTGCATTTATAGGCTGAAAAACCATGTCCAGAACAAAAATCTTCCTTTCCAGGAAAAATCTTTTTTAGTTGGTTTGATTCAATGGCATGGAAGGTTTTAAAAAACCTTTAGAAATTACAGATCTATGGTCCATAAATCCAGAAGATACAGCTAAAGAAATTGTACCTAAATTTGAGAAATATTGGAAGAAGAATTCACAAAAAAGAAACAAGTGAGTGTGATATTTATAAATATTTAATATTAGAGAATAAAAATTAAATAAAAATCAGTTAATAAAATAAAAAATTTAAATAAATCAATTAATAAACCAAAATAATTTTATCATATATTATATTAGTAATAAGATATAAATTCACTTTTGCTAACAAGAGTATTTTGGACTTACTTTAGGTAAGTTAATTAAATTGTATATATGATTAAACATATAAATATGTTTTATTTTTACTTATTTTTAGTGTACAAAATACTAAAGCATCATTCAGAAAAGGATCTGGCCAAGTAAATTTCAATAATGAATATAAAAAGAAAACATCGTCAGTTTTGCCTCCTCTTTGCAAAGCTTTTGGTGCCACGTTTTTATTTGGTGCAGTACTTAAATTTGTACAAGATATTATAACTTTTGTTAGTCCACAAATATTACAGTAAGTAAATGAATATTTTAATACTTCTTATTTTAAATTAATTAGTTTTTAGAATTACAGTTACAAATTAAAATGTTTTTAATATAGGTTACTTATCGATTTTACTAAAGGACGTGAACCACTATGGAAAGGCTATTTTTATGCAGTTTTATTGTTAATTACAGCCATATTTCAAACATTAGTTTTATCTCAATATTTTCATCGTATGTTTTTAGTTGGATTACGAATACGTACTGCTTTAATTGCAGCAATTTATCGGAAAGCATTGAGAATGTCTAATGCTGCCAGAAAAGAGTCAACAGTTGGTGAAATAGTAAATCTAATGTCTGTGGATGCACAAAGATTTATGGATTTAACAGCATATATAAATATGATTTGGTCTGCACCATTGCAAATAGTCTTAGCATTATATTTTTTATGGGATATTTTGGGACCAGCTGTACTTGCTGGATTAGCTGTTTTACTTATTCTTATCCCAATAAATGTCTTGATTACTAATAGAGTTAAAACACTGCAAATTAGACAAATGAAGCATAAAGATGAAAGAGTTAAATTAATGAATGAAGTACTTAATGGTATAAAAGTATTAAAACTATATGCATGGGAACCTTCATTTGAGGAACAAATACTAAAAATACGAACAAAAGAAATTAAAGTACTTAAGGAAACAGCATATCTTAATTCTGGAACAAGTTTTATTTGGTCCTTTGCACCCTTTTTAGTAAGTTTTTAAGTCAAATTATATTATTAAGAGAAAATGATTTTTTATTTATTGTTTTATTTATTTATTTATTTATTTATTTATGTATAACTTTTATTTTGTAGGTTTCATTGGTATCCTTTGCAACATATGTACTTATAGATGAAAATAATCGTTTAGACAGTACAAAAGCTTTTGTTTCACTCAGTCTTTTCAATATCTTAAGGTTTCCTCTTTCTATATTACCTATGATGATTGGTAACATGGTTCAGGTAAATAAAAATATTTTATATTCAATTATAATACATATTCATATACATATCATTTTCATTTTTTAATATAATAATTTAATATAATTAAGGCTTATGTTTCTGTGAAACGTATTAATAAATTCATGAATACAGAAGAATTAGATCCAAATAATGTTCAACATGATTCATCTGAATGTAAGTTCCTAATAATTTTTATATATTTACAAATATTATATACCAAATATATCATATATATTAATATAATATAGCATATACATTACTAATTGAAAATGGCACCTTCATATGGGATATGGAAAATATTGATAGACCAATATTAAGAAATATCAATCTCCAAGTGGAACAAGGTCAATTAGTAGCTGTTGTTGGCACTGTAGGATCTGGAAAAAGCTCTCTTTTATCAGCTCTTCTTGGAGAAATGGAGAAGATAAATGGCAGAGTTAATACAAAAGTAAATATTTTATTACTTAAATGAAAAAATTTTTTAATATGATAAATAGTTTTGTTATTATTTGTTTATTTTACATATAATAGGGTTCTATTGCATATGTATCTCAACAAGCATGGATTCAAAATGCATCATTACAAGATAATATTTTATTTGGAAAATCATTACACAAAAATTTATACAATCGTGTAATTGAGGCATGTGCATTAACTCCAGATTTAAAAGTGCTGCCTGCAGGTGATCAAACTGAAATTGGAGAAAAAGGAATAAATTTATCTGGTGGACAAAAACAAAGAGTATCATTGGCCAGAGCAGTATACAATGATTCTGATATTATTTTTTGGATGATCCATTAAGCGCAGTAGATTCACATGTTGGAAAACATATATTTGAAAATGTAATTGGCTCTAGTGGTTTACTTAAGAAGAAAACAAGAATACTCGTCACACATGGTATTACTTATTTGCCAGAAGTAGATAACATTATTGTTCTTAAAGATGGTGAAATAACAGAAGTTGGAACTTACAAACAACTTTTAGAGAAAAGGGGAGCCTTTTCTGAGTTTTTAGTGCAACATCTTCAGGAAGGTATGTATCACTTTTTTCTTACTTTTTTCTATTTAGGTTTTATAAATATAATTAATTTTTAATTATATTTTTCATGAATTTAAGTTGGAAATCGTAAGTCAGTGAAAAAAGTAATTACGATTCCTTTTCCTACTTCAATTTGTGTGATTGTCCACAAAATGGTTTATATTGCATTTGGCTTGTGATATTAGAGTATCAATGATGTTAGTATTTTTTGCAATTTGCTACTCTTAAAACTTATCAGCTGGCTTGTAGCATAAAGTAACCTACACTACAACTTTATTTTTTAGTATTCTCTTTTAAATCTTTTTATATATAATCTTTTTTTTATTTAAAAAAAAGATATATATAAAAGATTATAATGCATGTTAAATTTCAATCAGAAACTTATTGAAATGAAATATATAATTAGTGTTATACATATATAATTCTTTTTGTGATTTATTTTTAATTTATTGAAATTAATAATCATGATTTGCCGAATGCATTTGAAATTTTATTCTAACATCAAAGTGCATCCTATTATGTTATTATTTTTTAATTTTGTATAATTATTTTTGAATATGTTGTGTATTTTTTATAACAAATTTAAAATAGTACATGCTGATGGTGAATCAGAAGCAGATCTACATGAAATTAAACAACATTTGGAATCTACAATTGGATCAAATGAATTACAACAGAAATTAACAAGAGGTAAATCAAGAATATCAGAAAGTCAAAGTGAATCTGGTTCCATAGCTGATAGAAAATCTTTAAATGGTTCATTAAAGAGGTAAAATTACTTTAATTATGTTCGACGTTATGTACAATAATATTTCTTAGAAGAATATATGTATTTTTATTTTTTAGACAATATTCTACAAGTAGTCAACAATCTGGTACTTATGAAAATAGTAATATAAAAGAAGCGAAATTATTATCTCCAAAATCAGGAGGAAAATTAATAGAAGTAGAAAAAACTGAAACTGGAAGTGTAAGTTTTCTTTTTTTATTTTATAAAATAATTTATTAAATAAATTTTAATCATATATTATTCTTATTAAGGTTAAATGGCGAGTCTATTCTCACTATTTTAAATCCATTGGTTGGTTTTTATCAATATCCACTATTATAATGAACGCTATTTTTCAAGGATTTAGTATTGGTTCAAATACTTGGCTCAGTATGTGGTCAGATGATAATTTAACAGATTTTAATAATACAGTTGATCACATTAAACAAAACATGTATCTTGGAGTATATGGTGGACTTGGCCTTGGCCAAGGTATGTGCTTAAAAATTTATAATATATATTATATATATTTATTTTTCGTTTATTAATAATTCTTAGAATTAGAATTTTAAAAAAAATTATTATGTAAGGTAAGTTTAATTTTAAATTATGTTATGATCCAATATATAATGATTACTTTATTATTTTATTTATTATTAAATTTTTGTTTTGAAAGGCATGTTCCTTCACAGATTACACAGTTTTGGGGAAATTAAATTTTAAATTATAAATAAAACATATATTTATATGACTCTGAAACTAACTGTTTATGTATTAACATCATAAAATCATTATTTCCTTAATAATTTGTTTTGAAATTTTAAGTACGCAATTAACATTAAAACATTAACAAAATCTAACTAGTTAAAATATTAGTGCGAGTGCAGTTTGCTGTGTCAATAGAATATTTATAAATTAAATAAAAGCTTTGTAGAAATATATTGTTTAAGTGCCATTACTTTAATTATTATTCAAAATTAATTTTTGTTTCGCATGTACTTATTTATTTTATCTTATTTCATATGTATGTATAAGCTCATGCAATATTTATGTATAATATTTCAGCATGAAGTAGCAAAATAACAAAGCTTCTTATCATTTATCTATTATTAAAATACATAGATTTTATATCTTTTATATATTAAATGTTCATCTCATCACA